GGGAATAGCCGGTTAAATTATGGTAAGAAGTAAGGACCATGGCCCTTCCCGACTCTAGAGAGCGGGGTTGGATAACATGGACTTGCATCGTGATCACGGGTTAGGGTGGAGTCCGAATCGGAGACCTAACTAGGCTCCAGTAGGGGTAACACGTAAGATAGGACCCCGAAGGGCCTTACCTTCCCACGGGATGATGGGTATGAGTCCAGCGGCGGGATGTGGAGTCCGAACCGATGACCTTATGAGGCCTCGGACAACGGTAGCCAGTCTCGTAGAAAAAATAAGACCCACATGTTGGGTTGTATCAATGATGAATGAAAAGGAATATACAAGAAGGGTCGTGTGCCAATGAATAAATGAATTTACTTATTATAGAGATAATAAGTGGCAAATATGAATTATCAATTATATTATGATACCACTCTATTTGAGGGTCTTAAGGAATTGAAACGTTGATTATACTTAGTATAGTTGTCATTGTACTTGTCAAATGCTTCCAAGTACTGACCTCCCCTTCACGGGGGAGGCCAACTCACAGTTTCAGGTAGAACTTGAAGGTTGGTACCATTGCCCGTTGCTTCAGGAAGATCAAGGGAAGAAGACATGTTTCGTGCTTCTTCCGTTGTGTTTTAAAAACAATTACATTAATGCTCATGGATATTATTTTCTCAATATTATTTTGGGGGCTTGTATGCCTAATTATGCCAAGTATGGCTTGAACACTTGTATTAAATGTTTCCGCTGCTTTAAATGAGTATTTTACATTATGTTTGTTTATGGACGTACTATGTGTGAATGGTATTCAAGACGCCTTGTATAGTATGGATGTGTTGGACTGCGGTTGACTATTTGTACTGTACGGCGAGTTGTTGACGTGTCCGGGTAGGTCCGGGGCGTGACAATTTAATTGGTATCAGAGCCTTAGTCCGTAAACATCATAATGAAGCTTCAAAATTCTTTTGAAAAATGAATTTGAAAACTATGAGCATAAGAAGTTTTGTACTTATGAAACTTTTGGTACTTGATTGCAATGTCTCTAATTGTTAAGATGGTACCCTTAACAATTGGTATGGTGGTGATTTGAGCCAAAGGGTGTCCTTAAGTGCGTGTCCGTCAATTGCTATTTGATACCGACTGGCCAGGCACCGGGGAGGTCCCAACATGGTAGTCGAGGGACATCGAGGGTGTCTCGGGGGCAGGGCCGTGCAGGCCACTCGCTGACCGTAAGTGACGGTCATGTTGAAACAATTGATGAGCATTACGAGTCCGAGGAGGATTCAACTTACCGACCGGGAACTGAGCCGGTTGAAACCCCATATGATGGGGAGGATGATGGCGTTAGTGAAGATAGCGACGATAATGACGCTCTAGAGAGAATTGAAGGCTACACGGAGTTCCAATAACCATTGTATCCGATAGAGATCCAAGATTCACGTCACGATTTTGGCCGAAGTTCCAAGAGTCTATGGGAACAAAACTGAAGTTTAGCACTGCTTTTCATCCACAGACAGATGGACAATCTGAGCGGGTTATACAGATTTTGGAAGATATGTTGAGAGCTTGTGCATCGGAGTTCCAAGGGAATTGGGACAACCATTTAGCACTTGTAGAGTTTGCCTATAACAACAGTTATCAGGCGAGTATCGGCATGCCTCCATACAAGGCATTGTATGGAAGGAGGTGTCGTACACCGTTATGCTGGGATGAGGTTGGCATGGCCAGACTTGAGAGTACAGAATTGGTGGAGATCACCAAGTCCAAAGTGAAGATGATTCGTGAAAGGCTAAAGGCGGCCCAGGATAGACAGAAGAGTTATGCCGATAAGCGCCGAAGGGCCTTAGAGTTTAAGGTGGGAGATGAGGTATTATTGAAAGTTTCACCTTGGAAAGGAATCATCATATTTCAGAGTCGGGGGAAACTTAACCCACGCTACATTGGGCCATTTGTAATTCTTGAGAGAACTGGGGCCGTAGCATACCGATTACAGTTGACTCCGGAATTGGAGAAGATACATAATGTGTTACACGTGTCTATGCTTAAGAAGTATATACTAGATCCGTCTCATGTACTAGAGAAACCACCCGTGAAAATACAGGAAGACTTGAATTATGCCGTGCAACTGGTGAAGATACTAGATAGGCAAGTCAAGAAGTTGAGAAGCAAGAAAGTTCCAATGGTCAAAATCCTTTGGAAAAGTGACCGAGTTGAGGAAGAAACTTGGGAAACGGAAGCTTTGATGAAAGATCAATATGCATTTTTGTTTGAATAAACATTGTGAATTTCGGGGACGAAATTCCCGTTAAGGGGGGTGAACTTGTGACACCGTACCCGGATGTACTTGAAATTAGAATTCAGTATGTATTTGAATTTTTCTAGCGAATGATTTCGTATAAAAGAATGATATATTTAATCAATGTGCGATTAATTAAATTATTTATCAGGCCCATAATACGGAGAATTAGGGGTGGGATTTTGGAACCGGGAACCGTTAAAACGGTTGGAACCAAACCGTTATAGCCCAGTTCGGTTCGGTTCCTACAAATGAGGTATTAGTTGTTAACGGTTCGGTTCCGATTCCTATAAAAAATATATGCACGAAACCGTTAAGGAACCGATATTAAAAAAAATAGTAGCAGTATTCGTAGTAATACTAATATAACAAAAATAAACACAACAACAACAACAATAAATAAAAATAAATAATTATAAATATTTAGCCAATAATTCTAATGTAATTTAATCTATAAAAACAAAAATAATAAATATTTGCACATGAGGTTGAATACATTAAGCTCATTTTTACAAATCAAGTTTTGTTCCATCAATAGGAGTAGAATGTAGTGATGCTTTTATATTTGTACATGCAAACTCAATGTATTTCTAGGTTTTGAGAGGCATAAAGTGTACTCCTATCCATGCCACTCTAATGATGAGCAACCTTCACTTTAACGACATAACCAACGATTTTTATATTTTATGTATTAAATGAAAATTAAAATCTTGTTTTTATTCTATTAAGTGTTCACTTAAGTCTGAGCTTTGATGTTTGGAGCGATTAAAACTCTAAATAAATGTTTATGACTTGTTTTGACTTTTTGACGTTTTCATGTGGTAGAAGCTAAACTAAGTGTAAATTCTTACACGAAAAAATTATTATAGGAACCGATAAAAGCAAGAACCGAACTGTTTAGCATTGGTTCGGTTCCATATCGGTTCTTGATTTTTTTATATAGGAACCGAACCGATTTCATTTGTTAAAATTTAAATAACGGTTCCACTATTTTTGAGTAAGAACCGAACCGGTCTCAGGCCTAAATTATTCTAGGAACCGATAAAAGCAAAAACCGAACTGTTTAGCATTGGTTCGGTTCCATATCGGTTCTTGATTTTTATATAGGAACCGAACTCATTTCATTTGTTATAATTTAAATAACGGTTCCACTATTTTTGAGTAAGAATCGAACCGGTCCCAGGCCTACAGGGAATGGGCTAGCAAATAATTAGTTGGGTCATCGTAATAATTATAGAAGCCCAAATAAAATGCCAACCGAGGTTGGGGAAGATATTTGGACAACCCAAGTGCTATTTTGACCCAACCTGCTAGAAATAGCAAGAATAATTGGGAGAGACTTTCTACACCGACTTTGGGTATTCTACAAGCCCCTTAACCTCAAATAAATGAGGAAGGGGACAAGAAGTGGAACATGGTGTTGGGGGTGTTTCGGAAAATAAAGAAAATTAATTAAAATAAATTAATTAAATAAAATGACTAGAGAAAAACAAGAAATGAGATGAAGCAGAATTAGTCAAAGCTCGTGCTACGCACGATGTCCTTAAAACGTATTTGTTGCCTTCCACGGTGCTAGGAGCGTTGCAACAATCGTTTCCCAGGATACGATGACTACGAACTAATGTTTGAGCGCACAAACAAGAGTTCCAATGAACGAGAACCAAGTATGAACACTTAGGAATTTTTGGAAGTAGCTGGAGGTGTTTTTAGCTTAAGAAATTCGTGAGGAATGTATCGTGCGTTGTATTGTTGCAAACCACCTGCCAACTATTTATAGGAGGATTTGTTGTGTGTTAAATGAGGTGTTAATGGACCCGAACGTTGGACATCAATGACCAGTCCGTTGGGCATTGAATCGTCCATAAACTGTCCATTTAACGCAGCATTAAAAGATAAGAACGTTGGGCATTTAATGGCTGTAACGGTTGGAGCAGTTCTGGTGCGCGACCAGAATACGCCATTAGAGTTGGAGCAACTCTGATGCTACCAGAATACCTCCACCAGAGGAGGAGCAACTCTGGTACGAAGCCAACAGAATACCTCCACCAGAGGTGGAGCACTTCTGGTACGAAGCCACCAGAGTTCGAGCACCTCTGGTCATGGGAAAAATAAAACGTTACGGGAAGAAACAAAAATTAGACTGAATCTTTGAATGATAGATTTTTCAGATGGCATTCGTGTCCGCAGATCGCCCGCGCACACGAGTCACAATTTTTCTTCTCCGTTTCGGGATTTGATCAGCACCCCCCTGCACGCGAGAGAGAGAGCCTCTACCTTAAGGAATCTTAACTCCTTAAAAGAGACTTCCCTTTATAATGGGGTGAAAATCCTTTGGACTTTCCGGTGTGGGATAAATCCCTCTAGAAACCCATCCTTTTCCCAGTTTTTCCATTCTAATGGGTAAACTTCGAGAATCAATTTCTCATTCACCCGTTATCCATTTTGAGCGTACCATATATCGAATTGTAGCCCTTAACAAGGACAATCCGAAACCACTTTGAACCGACCCAAATCGGAAGTGGACCCCACTCAAATAATTACCCCAAAATCACCATTTAATGCAATTTTTTAACACATTTTTCCAACAATCCCCCACATGAATGAAAATTGATTTTCGAAACTAAAAAAGGACACGAAGATAGGAGGACACGTTGTGTTCACCAGATGATCCTTGCATACAGAGAGGTAGGTTTTATCCTTTGAACCGTCCTGGTGTGTAGCATATAATGGGCACACAACTATTTTTTTACCCAAGGAAGTAGGGTGTCGAACCACAGAGAAGCGGGAAATAAAATAATTAAGCACAAACTAAGGATTGAAGTTGGGAATGCGTTTCTTTTGATTTTTGTTTGCTTGGAAAAGTAATTAAATAAAAGTGATTGAGAGAAGAGATTTTTATCAACACAAAGTTCAACCAATAGCAAGTAGGGGTAGAAATTGGCAACTAATTGTTCAATGCTCATTTGTAAGACATAATTGCTAATTTTATTCTTAGATAGATTGTGAGAAGTTGTAGATAAATATTTTAGGACCCAACACAAGTCACCTAAAATAAGTAACTAGTCAACATTTCCCAGTGATGGCCAAAATGAGACTAGTTGTTTAAGTGCAACGGCAACCTTAATTATTAACTATATTATTTACCCAACCCCGTGGTGTAAATAATATAATTAAATAATTAAATTCTCCCGTAAAACTTCAATCCGGGACAAGGTAAAAGAAGTTTAACGGTGTGTTCAGAAAGTGTTCATTTGTGTATTTAACAAACAATATGTTTATGATTGAGTACTCATAATATATATCACAAACACGACATAATTAATTTTCTGGACACAACAATCTAAATAGAACAAACTTAACAATTAAAATCAATACAAATTAAAACATGATAAGAACAATTAATTAACCAATTTCTAGCCCCAAATTTATTTAGCTATACATGTTGGGAAACATAGAAATAGATGAATCCATGATTAAAATACAAGATTTAATGAGATAAGGAAGATCAAACTTGTGATAGATGACAATCCTTGGAGCTTTGATGCTAATTTTGACTTAATCTTGGATGAGAAAGTGATTAGTTATGGTTGAAGATGGGTTGATGATTTGGGGTTGAGAAATGAAGAGAGAAGGAGGAGGAAATGTTTCTGGGATGTTTAGAGAGAGGTTGGTCCGAACTTATGTGTGGAGGAAGATGGATTAAGGCAATATAATGATAAGGTGATTAATCATTAATTGCTGGAATTTACGGAACAGATGAGTTTATGTACAACAAAGCGCAATAAAGTTTCAAAAGTGGCAGGTAGCTCAACGGATAAGCACTTCAGAGGAAAACTCGGAGATCGTGGGATCAATTCTCGGCTTCAACATTTTGTTCTTTTCTTTGCCGCGTTCAGAAGGAATATAACAATTGCCAGCTGAATATGTACAACATTGATCACTTAGCACACTGGTTATAGTAGGTATTCTTCTATCCTTTTTCCAGGGATTGAATCCCACCTCCATCATTTTTAGTTTTGATTCTTTTCTTCAATTTACTCCTTATTTGTTTTGAAGGAAATTCCACTTTTATTGACCTCCAACTTGAACATTTATTTTTCTTCTTTTGTTCACTCTAATGTATCCAAATAGCATCAAAAGTACCTGAAAATACAAAATACCCGTGTAGGACTGCACAAGTACAAACTAATGACAAATTATAAAAATATGTACAAAAGTAGAATTTTAATAACTAAAATTAATAACAAACTAAGCCTAAAAAGTGTGTAAAATATAAGTACATCAAATCCCCCACACTTAGGCTTTTGCTTGTCCTCAAGTAAAACAAACAACAAACACAAAAATATACACAATTTTGTAAAATTTACAAACATAACTAAACAAATCACTCATACATCTCTAATGTCCACTAAACGGTCCAATACCCTGAAATGTCACAAAATAACGCAATGAGAGTAAACTGAGTATTTGTGCCTATCACTAAGATTTTCAAATCAAACTTTTAACACAAACACCTATAGATCTAAATTAGTTCGGGTTATGCAGAACAAGTTTCTCCAATCCGCTAAATTCAAAAAATGACACAAATAGATCAATTAGGACTTTTTTCGGTGAGTGGCGAGATTAATGAGTGTGGCTAGTTGGAAGGAAAGTTTGGTGTAAGAATATACAGAGAGAGTTAGATTGTACTAATACTGAGCGGATCATCACAAGAATTTACAACAACTTGGAGCATACAAAACAATGAGAAATATAAACATGAAAAGTAAAAAAAAATGGGGTTTTACAAAAGAAATTACAACAAGAATTTAATGTGCCTCTTTGTTTTTTTTTTTGTTTTTTTTTGTCTTTTTTTTTCAATTTTCCATCTCTTTTTTTTTCTTTTTTCTTTTTTTTTTTGATTTTTTTTTCAAAGAGGTCACACACTGAACATTACAATGAAAAACTAACCCCAAAATTTACAAACAAATATGTACTTCACTCATATGACACTTAATAGTAGCTCCATTTATTTACTCTCAAGTAACAAGACAATCTACTCTAGGATTAGAAAAGATTAACTTTGAATAGGGCTTCAGAAGGTTATGTATTTACAAGGTTACAAATAAAAAAGAATTAGTGACAAGTGAAGTAAGATATTTTACACTTGTACACTGAAAAGGCTCGAACGGGATTACTATGGAAAGTGTTATTTATTTACAAAGGGATAGTGTTTGGCTTCATGGGTAAACAAAGATGGCCTAAATCATTTCTAAATGTGTCAAGTTCAAATAAAATTTCAAGGAGAATAAATGTATGAACATCTTAATCTGCATAAACTTTCACTAATTCAACTATTAACCAATAAATTGGAAAAATAAAATCTAAGGTGTTTAATGTTAAAGTGTTAAAAAGAATCAAGTTCAAAGCTAATACTAAGTTACTCTCAAAAAATTATAGTGACACTTCTCAAACTCAAACCACATTTCGTCAAAAGAGGTGAATGAATAGTTTTAAAAAGTTATGGAAGTAACTAGTAACAAAAAGTGTAAACTAATGTGTTGTTTGTCTATTGTTGTATTTTGGACAAGACTGGTCTTTACTTTTCTAAACAAACACACAAAATAAAAATAAAAGAAAATAAAATCACACAAACAAGCAAGGAAAAAGAAAAAATATTCACACAAGAAATTAGGGTCGAACTACCCACTCCCCCACACTTAAAATTTGCATTGTCCTCAGTGGAAAATAAATTAAAGGAGTGTAAAGAAAACTTCCCTGAATTGCGGACGGATGATGTTGAGATGTCTTTTCGAGCGGATGTGGCCCCTTTAGAGTCCAAAAACAAAAACCTAGACATTTTTTTTTTGCTTTTTTTTTTTTTGTTTTTTTTTTTGAAATTTACAAACTTGGGTTGCCTCCCAAGAAGCGCTCGTTTAAGGTCATTAGCTTGACCCATGCCTCTTCATTCATATTTCGGATCAGTGAGACAATACACAGAAGTTGCCTCTTGTCTCTCACCATCATGGTATAGTTTCAACCGTTGTCCATTTACCATGAGTTTTTGGCCGCTTTTGTTTAACAACTGGACTGCTCCGGATGGAAATGCTTCAAGTACTTCAAATGGACCCAACCATCGGGTCTTTAGCTTTCCGGGAAAGAATTTGTAACGTGAGTTAAATAGAAGAACTTTATCTCCCCGTTCAAATTTTCTTCGGCTGATCACCCGGTCATGCAAAACTTTTGTTCTCTCCTTGTAGAGTTTTGAGCTATCATAAGCTGCAAGTCTGAATTCTTCAAGTTCATTTAGCTGCAACAGTCGTTTCTCACCCGCCAATGCAAGATCCATGTTGAGTGTCTTGATTGCCCAATATGCTTTGTGTTCAACCTCAACAGGAAGGTGACATGATTTCCCATACACCAATTTGAATGGTGAGGTGCCGATGGGATTTTTGTAAGCAGTGCGATATGCCCATAGTGCATCATCAAGCTTTTCGGCCCAATCCTTTCGGGAAGGATTAACAACTTTCTCGAGAATTGTTTTGATTTCTCGGTTTGAAAGTTCCACTTGGCCATTTGTTTGCGGGTGGTATGGAGTTGAGAGTCGGTGGTGAATCCCATATTTGGAAAGGACACGTTCCAATGCTTTGTTACAAAAATGAGTACCATTGTCGGTGATGAAAGATCGTGGAACTCCGAATCGGGAGAAAATATTTTTCTGAATGAATTGGATCACCACTTTGGCATCATTTGTCTGTGTGGCAGCTGCTTCTACCCATTTAGAAACATAATCAACAGCTACAAGGATGAACTCTTTCCCATTTGATTTTGGAAATGGCCCCATAAAATCGAGCCCCCACACGTCAAATAATTCGACTTCAAGTATGCCATGTTGAGGCATTTCATTCTTTCTTCCAATATTGCCGGTACGTTGGCAACGATCACAGTTTTTCACAAATTTGCTTGCATCTTTGAAAATAGTGGGCCAAAAGAAACCTGATTGTAAAATCTTTGCAGCAGTACGAGAGCTTCCATGATGTCCCCCATATGCTGAGGAATGACAATGGTGCAAGACATTTGAAACTTCATCTTCGGGCAAACACCGTCGAATGACTCCATCGGCACACCTTCTATAGAGAAAAGGTTCTGCCCAATGATAGTAGCGGGAGTCATATTTTAACTTCTTCTTTTCAGTATGTGTAGCACCATGTGGAATTACCCCATGAGAAAGGTAATTTGCAATATCGGCAAACCATGGATCGAAATTTTGAGCAGTCATAAGTTGTTCCCCAATGAAATAATCATTGATTGGCATCTTGGTATCACAAGGAATCTCCAGTCGAGATAAATGATCGGCAACAACATTTTCAGATCCTTTTCTATCACGGATTTCCATGTCAAACTCTTGTAGTAACAAGATCCACCGCAACAACCTCGGTTTTGCATCTTTTTTGTTGATGAGGTATTTGATAGCCGCATGGTCGGTATAGACAATAATCTTGCTACCGATAAGGTAAGATCGGAATTTTTCAATGGCAAAAATTATGGCAAGAACTCTTTTTCAGTTGTGGCATAATTTGATTGGGCATCATCAAGAGTATGACTTGCATAATAAATGGCATATACTTCTTTGCCTTTGCGTTGACCCAGAATGGCTCCCACGGCATAATCGCTTGCATCACACATGAGTTCAAAGGGAAGACTCCAATCAGGTGGCCTAATAATAGGTGCAGTAGTTAAGGCCAACTTGAGTTTTGAAAATGCGGCGCAGCAAGATTCATCAAAATTAAACTCCACATCTTTTGAGAGAAGATTGGTTAAAGGCTTTGATATTTTTGAAAAATCCTTGATAAACCGTCGATAAAATCCCGCATGGCCAAGAAAACTGCGAATCCCCTTGATGGAAGAAGGGGGTGGCAATTTATCAATTACTTCTATCTTTGCCGGGTCTACTTCAATGCCCTTTTCAGAAATTTTGTGCCCAAGCACAATTCCTTCGGTTGCCATGAAATGACATTTTTCCCAGTTGAGGACAAGATTTGCTTCTTCACATTTGCTTAGCACTTTATCAAGATGTTCAAGACAATCATCAAATGAAATCCCATAAACCGAGAAATCATCCATAAAAACTTCCATAATTTCCTCGACAAGATCCGAGAAAATAGCTAGCATACATCTTTGAAAGGTTCCTGGTGCATTACATAATCCAAACGGCATTCTGCGATATGCAAAAGTACCATAAGGACATGTAAATGTCGTCATTTCTTGATCATCCGGATGAATTGGGATTTGGAAAAATCCAGAGAATCCGTCAAGAAAACAGAAATATTTGTGCTTAGCCATCCTCTCCAGCAATTGATCAATAAAGGGAAGTGGAAAATGATCTTTCCGAGTAGCCTTGTTTAGCTTGCGGTAATCAATGCACATGCGCCATCCAGTGACTATTCGTGTAGGAATCAGCTCGTTTTTGTCATTCTTTACAACAGTAATTCCTCCTTTCTTTGGTACCACATGGATAGGACTTACCCATTTACTGTCCGAAATGGGGAAAATGATACCCGAACTCAATAGTTTAAGAATTTCTTTTTTAACAACATCTTTCATGTTCGGGTTGAGGCGTCTTTGGTGCTCAATGCTCGGCTTGTGATCATCCTCCAAGTAAATGCGGTGCATGCAATAAGATGCCTTTATGCCAACAATATCATCAATGGTGTAGCCAATAACTCTGCGATGGCTTCGTAAGACTTGCAATATTCTTTCCACTTGTTGAAGATCCAAATCAGCATTCACAATGACAGGATAAGTGGAATTCGGGCCAAGAAAAGCATATTTTAAAGTAGATGGAAGTGGTTTGAGTTCTACATCAGGTGCTTTTCCTTTGACATTCAAGGATTGATCTTCAAGATTAAGCACTTCAAATTTAAGTGCTTTAGGCATCGGTAAAGATATGCTTTGCAACATTTCGAGACATAAATTCACCATTTCATTGGCTTGCTCATCTGCAATAGATTCTCGTATAGTGTACTCCATGGGATCTTTAGAAAGCCAATAAGACTTATCAAATGTCCTTATGATACAAGAGTCTATAACATCAGCATAGTAACCATCAAGGATACAAGGTGTATCCTTACTCAGCTCTTGTACATTGAATTCGATCTTATCATCCCCAATCTCAAGGATAAGGGTACCCTTTTTTACATTGATAATTGCTCCTGCCGTAGCTAGAAAGGGTCTCCCGAGAATAACAGGAACTCGAGCATCTTCCTCCATATCCAAGACAACAAAGTCTCTCGGGATATAATACTTGTCAATTTTGACAGGAACATCTTCAAGAATGCCGATAGGGTATTTGACAGATCGATCAGCCAATTGTAACGCCATTGTTGTTGGTTTGGGATCCCCCAAGTGTAGCTTTTGACATAGTGAATAGGGAATTAAGCTAACACTTGCACCAAGATCACAAAGAGCTTTGTTAACTTTAGATCCACCAATGATACATGGAATTGAGAAGCTTCCAGGATCACGTAACTTGGGTGTAATTTTGTTTTGGATTATGGCACTACATTCTTGGCTCATTGCAACAGTGGCTGGATTCTCCTTCTTCTTTGTGAGAATATCTTTGAGAAATTTAGCATATGAAGGAATTTCTGTAATCGCATCAAGCAAAGGAATTGAGATATCCAACTGTTTGATAACATTCAAAAATTTAGTTCTCCGCTCCTCCATATTAGATTTCTTCAACCTGTTCGGATAAGGAACTGGGGGAATATATTTCCTTACCGAACTGCCTCTTTCTTTCTTCGACCCTTCACGATCATCAGATGATTTTGGCATGGTACCGACATCAAGTTCATTGTTGTTGTTTCCACTTTTCTGTTGTTGCTCGGCCCTTTCCTCCAACACTTCATGTTCTTTTTCATCACTAGAAAGGGGCAAGGATTGATGTTGTTTCCCACTCCGAGTAGTGACGACATTGATTTGCTCCCTAGGGTTTTCCGGACAAGCAGGAAGCTTACCTGTTACCTTAGTTGATGATGTGGATGCTTGAATAGCAATTTGATTCTCAAGCATCTTGTTGTGAGCTCGAAGTTGACCAAGTTCTTCGGTGATTTGTTTCAGGGTTTCAGCTTGAGATAATTGGGACTTGAGAAGTTGGTCAACAATGTTTTCTAGGACAGGAGTTTGGGTTGTTTCAGGAGTGGGGAGAAGTGGTTTTTGCTGTTGAGTTGAAGGGTATAGAAGATTTTGAGTGGGTTTATAGTGTTGCTGGTTCACAATACCTTGGCCACCTCTAACTTGCTGTTGTTGGTTTTGGAAACCGGGTGGTGCACTCCGATAAGATGGTTGTGGATTAGCAGCTCCATTTTGATTGCTCCAGGAAAAACCGGGATGGTTTCTTCCTTGAGGATTGAAATTACCAAATTGATTTTGTTGAGGCTGCCTGTTGTAGTTGACATAGTCAACTTGTTCCATTGCTTCCCATGGACAAGTAGACTGATTGTGTTGTCCACCGCAAGATTCACACATAAGAACGGGAATGGGAGCTGGAGTTGATGTTGAGTTTTTCACAAGAGAGACTTGTGCCATCTTTTGGATAAGATTCATCATGCTGTCGACCTTTGTGGTTATGGCCGACATTTGATCAACTTCATACATGCCTCCGATTTTTGGTGGAGCAGATGATCGCTCAGAATACCATGTTGATCCATTTGATGAAATACACTCCATCAATTCTTCTGCCTCTTCAAGTTCCAGGCACATGAATGATCCATTTGCTGACGCGTCCACGAGTATCCGAGAATTTTCATGTAGGCCTTCATAGAAAGCCGTCATCAAGTGCCAGTTTTGGATGTTGTGATGTGGACACTGTCGCTGAAGATCTTTGAATCTTTCCCAAGCCTCGTAGAGGGGCTCATTGGGATTTTGCTTGAAATTTTGAATCATTCTTCGGATTTTCGCCGTTTTAGATGGCGGGAAAAATCTTTTGAGAAATTCACCATGAAGTTGATCCCAAGTGGAGAAGTGATTATCCGGAAAAGAGTCAAGCCAAATCTGAGCTCGATCCCGTAGAGAGAATGGGAACAGGCGTAGTCTGACAGAATCAGTTGGCACACCATTGATTTTGAAGGTGTTGCAAGCTCGAAGGAACTTTGTGATGTGATTATTTGGATCCTCCGTTGGCGCTCCGCCAAATTGAGTATTTGAAACCATATGAATGATAGCAGGCTTGATTTCAAAGTGATTCATGTTAACCTCTGGTGGAATAACACTGTCATGCTCATCCACGGGAGGCGTAACATAATCATACAGCGGTTTTCTGGTCCTCATAACCTGATCCACGATTTGTTGATCGGGTACCTGCTCATTAACAACAATATCGTTTGACATTTTTTTTATTTTTTTCTGTTCACGTATGTGCTTTTCAATGTCAGAGAAGAATAACAATTCACAATTCGCACCACGTGAACGTGTGAGCATAAGTAGAAGGGAATTGGGATTGGGGAAAGAGAGAGAGAGAGAGAGAGAGAGAGAGAGAGAGAGAGAGAGAGAGAGAGATGAAAAGAAAAAATAAATGCAGAATTAATTAATTAATTAAGGTTCGCACGTAGTCAATTGGTATAAACCGAATAAGACTAGTGAGCCCTTAAAGCAGTATGAATATATACAGTAATTCACCAGGATGCGGCTAGGCCGACAGATATGGTGATTTGCGGGAAGAAAAAAAAATAGCTACAGTAATAAATACAGTCTCCACCAAGATGCAGCTATGCCGACAGTCTGGGGATTATTAAGAAAATAAAAATAAAAATAAAAAGTGCACTCCACCAACAAGTGGACACGGCCTACAAGCTTGGGGATGCAAAATTTAAAAAAAATGCTGAAATTAAAGTGCGGAAATTAAATTGTGATAATATAAGTGCACAAATTAAATTGCGATAATTAAAGTGCAGAAATTAAAAAGTTGGGGTTTGAACCACCATAAAAAGAAAAATAAACGGTCCGACCATATAGGCGGAGTATCATTTGAATTATAATGTACAAGTAAGCGGTCCGACCATATAGGCGGAGTATCCTTTTAATTAAAATGTAAAAATATGTTCAATGGTCTGAATGTCCAGATATGTTCAGTCAACAAGTCCAACTCCAATGCTCAGGTAAGATGATTAATCACAGTCCATTTTTTTTTTTGATTTTTTTTTTGATTTTTTTTTTGAACTTTAATTAATCACTTTTTTTTAACCTGCAAAGGTAAAAAGATAACAACAGAATAATATACACACAATTTACAATAACTAAAATCGAAAGTTTATGCTCTCAATTTTTTTTTTCAAAACCGCTTCCCCGGCAACGGCGCCAAGTTGGTGTGTAGCATATAATGGGCACACAACTATTTTTTTACCCAAGGAAGTAGGGTGTCGAACCACAGAGAAGCGGGAAATAAAATAATTAAGCACAAACTAAGGATTGAAGTTGGGAATGCGTTTCTTTTGATTTTTGTTTGCTTGGAAAAGTAATTAAATAAAAGTGATTGAGAGAAGAGATTTTTATCAACACAAAGTTCAACCAATAGCAAGTAGGGGTAGAAATTGGCAACTAATTGTTCAATGCTCATTTGTAAGACATAATTGCTAATTTTATTCTTAGATAGATTGTGAGAAGTTGTAGATAAATATTTTAGGACCCAACACAAGTCACCTAAAATAAGTAACTAGTCAACATTTCCCAGTGATGGCCAAAATGAGACTAGTTGTTTAAGTGCAACGGCAACCTTAATTATTAACTATATTATTTACCCAACCCCGTGGTGTAAATAATATAATTAAATAATTAAATTCTCCCGTAAAACTTCAATCCGGGACAAGGTAAAAGAAGTTTAACGGTGTGTTCAGAAAGTGTTCATTTGTGTATTTAACAAACAATATGTTTATGATTGAGTACTCATAATATATATCACAAACACGACATAATTAATTTTCTGGACACAACAATCTAAATAGAACAAACTTAACAATTAAAATCAATACAAATTAAAACATGATAAGAACAATTAATTAACCAATTTCTAGCCCCAAATTTATTTAGCTATACATGTTGGGAAACATAGAAATAGATGAATCCATGATTAAAATACAAGATTTAATGAGATAAGGAAGATCAAACTTGTGATAGATGACAATCCTTGGAGCTTTGATGCTAATCTTGACTTAATCTTGGATGAGAAAGTGATTAGTTATGGTTGAAGATGGGTTGATGATTTGGGGTTGAGAAATGAAGAGAGAAGGAGGAGGAAATGTTTCTGGGATGTTTAGAGAGAGGTTGGTCCGAACTTATGTGTGGAGGAAGATGGATTAAGGCAATATAATGATAAGGTGATTAATCATTAATTGCTGGAATTTACGGAACAGATGAGTTTATGTACAACAAAGCGCAGTAAAGTTTCAAAAGTGGCAGGTAGCTCAACGGATAAGCACTTCAGAGGAAAACTCGGAGATTGTGGGATCGATTCTCGGCTTCAACATTTTGTTCTTTTCTTTGCCGCGTTCAGAAGGAATATAACAATTGCCAGCTGAATATGTACAGCATTGATCACTTACCACACTGGTTATAGTAGGCATTCTTCTACCCTTTTTCCAGGGATCGAATCCCACCTCCATCATTTTTAGTTTTGATTCTTTTCTTCAATTTACTCCTTATTTGTTTTGAAGGAAATTCCACTTTTATTGACCTCCAACTTGAACTTTTATTTTTCTTCTTTTGTTCACTCTAATGTATCCAAATAGCATCAAAAGTACCTGAAAATACAAAATACCCGTGTAGGACTGCACAAGTACAAACTAACGACAAATTATAAAAATATGTACAAAAGTAGAATTTTAATAACTAAAATTAATAACAAACTAAGCCTAAAAAGTGTGTAAAATATAAGTACATCACGTCCATTCTAAAGACACGTTTATTTACTGGCTGTCTAGTAGACTCGATGTCATTGAACTATACTGCCGTCGTGTAAACATTGACTTATCTTTACACAAGAACCTTCCAACTTTGTTCCGTTCTCATGAGTGTGCCCGTTTTGGCAATGGGTCACCGTCCTGGTTCTGCAAGAGTTTCTAAAGAACTGAGCCTTTACAGATCTCCTTTGAAGCGGCCCTCTTCTCTCTCACATAGGTGATTCTTTCACGAGTATCCTGCATACTCTTCCAATATTATTGAGTAGATCAGCATTTTAGAATCATTAAAGCAAACGTTTTTTCTAACCTCGTGCGGGAGTCACTGTTTCAACGAGTAGTGGGTAGGAGTCCGGGACCCCCACAGTGACCATCCTTCGCTCTATAATTTAGTTGTCCCTTTTGAACCTAGGACCAACTAGGTTGGATATCCACTATAGAACTTTTCAATTCACGGGATTTAATCCCATTCCCCGTGACAACTTCTCCAACAATTCTCTATCCAATGCCTTGGTTAGCGGATCCGCTATGTTATCCTTTGACTTCACATAGTCAACAGTGATAACACCCGTTATGAGGAGTTGTTTAATGGTGTTATGTCTACGACGAACGTGTCTAGACTTACCATTGTAGAGATTGCTCTGTGCCCTTCCAATTGCCGCTTGACAATCGCAATGTATGCATATTGGAGGGACATTGTCACACCCCGGACCTACCCGGACACGTCAACAACCCGCCGTACAGTACGAATAGTCAACCGCAGTCCGACTCATCCATACTATACAAGGCGTCTTGAATACCATTCACACATAGTACATCCATAAACAACATAATGTAAAACATTTATTAAAGGCAACGGAAACAATTGATACAAGTGTTCAAGCCACACTTGGCATAATTAGGCATGCAAGCCCCCAAAGTAATTATTCAGAAAATATTATCCATGAGCATTATTCATATTGTTTGCAAAACAAGAACGGGAGAAGCACGAACCAAGTCTTCTCCTCAGAAACTTCCCGAAGCAGCGGCTGGTAGTAGCAACCTTCAAGTTCTACCTGAAACTGTGAGGTGGCCTCCCCCGTGAAGGGGAGGTCAGTAATTGGAAGCATTTGACAAGTACAATGACAACTATACTAAGTATAATCAAAGTTTAAATCTCTGAGGCCCTCAATCTAGAGCATTATTATATTATAGTTAATCCGTTCATTTAGTATCAATTCATCATTATTTACCACGGTCTAGAGCCCAGCTCATAATCACCGTTATCTACTACGGTCTAGAGTCCCGCTCATAATCACCGTCATCTACTACGGTCTAGAGCCCAGCTCATAATCACCGTCATCTACTACGGTCTAGAGCCCAGCTCGTAATCACCGTCATCTACTACGGTCTAGAGCCCAGCTCATAATCACCGTCATCTACATCGGTCTTGAGCCCGGCTCATAATCACCGATTCCTTATAATTCAAATTCTTAGGATCTAATTCATCCATTTCTCAACTAACATTTCCAACTAATATTTCAATGCTAGTTATTTATTTATTTCAATATAATTCTTTCTTCTTGCATAATTGGCCTTAATATCAAGTATCACTTTCATACCCTCATGGCTTCTCCTCATGGCATCAAAGTATACTATCTCAAATGATATTCATGGTTGGTACAACCATCATACACACATATTCATAACATCTAAACATACACAATTTATTCATAAATTTGTGTATCATGCATACTATACTTATAATCAATAGTAGTTTTATTTAGGCATTATTAACCATTAACAACTCATACACATCACATTTGTATTCACTTAGGAAATCCCATGAAATTAACCCAAAGATTATAAGTAACATAGTCGGTCATCCTCACCTTAATTAAGCTTAAGCGCGTTCTACGTTTCTCGATTGAACTTTGACCAACTCCGGCGAACTTTGACCAACTCCGGCGAACTTTGACCAACTCCGGCGAACTTTGACCAACTCCGACGAAACTCCGGCGAAGCTCAAAAATACTTTAAATCAAGTTCCTAACAAGGTTTTATCATCACAAAACCCATATCAACACAAATAACCTATAAAAGGTTATTTTCCGGCAAATCGGTCGATTTGGCTTCTAAGTCCGTTTTTGGACTTAGAATCACTTTCCAACCCATTATTCCACACTTAAATCATGTAGAAAAATACTAAAGGTCTTTCATATGATATATATCTTATATGCTAGAAGAAAAACAAAGGAAAAGTTATGATAAGGTCATTACCTTAATTTTCACACTTTTTCCTACCTTTTTCCTTCTTAAACTTTCTTCTTGGACTCCCTTGAGCTTGAGTTCGGATTTGGGGCTATGGAGATGAAGTTGTAGAGGTTCTTTCCTCCTTTCCCTTGCTGTTGGCCAAACTAGTGAGGAGGGGGATGGGTAGGAATGTCCCTTTGTCTCCTTTTGGGCAATGAGTGAAAGGGAGGAGGGCCACCATGATTTGTTTTGATGCCAAACATCTCAAATCAGTCCTCTCCCACCTCAACTCTCCTACCAGCCTGCTCAGGCCCTGAATAATGAGGCTAAGATCGTGGGTTGGCCCCCACCCATGTGGGAGGTCAACCCTTTTTGTCCCGAAGTGTACAATCGGTCCCGAAAGTTGTATTTTTCCGGACTGTTTTAAGTATATTTTATTTTATCGGGTCAAATAAAATATAACACTTGTTCCCAATTCTTAATGGACCCTAGAATCAATATGCATCCCTCAACTTTAATTTAGAAGTCTCCGAAATCCCTTTTCGGGCTGTTATCTGATAGATTGTCGATACTGATAATTTGGCCCCGTTGACCAACCGGTCAACCCTATGCCATTGTCATGGCTCAACTAGGATATCCACCACCATATACATATTATCTAGTCCAAGATCAATATAATATGTGGCCCCGATAATATCGGGCGGTCCCCACTCCCGATGTGGGCCCCACGTGCATTTTACTATTCACGCGAAAAAATTAATACAAATTCACAACTTCGTAAATTCACTAAAAATTTCATAGGGTTCAATAAATTATTAGCTTAAAGATAAATACATTTGGGGACGGTGTTACAAGTTCACCCCCCCTTATTTGGGATTTCGTCCCCGAAATCCATGTGTCTAATCGAAAAGGAAAGGGTACTGCTCCCTCATTGAGACCTCAGTCTCCCATGTTTCTTCTTCGACTCGATCACTCCTCCAAAGGACCTTTACCATAGGAATCTCCTTGTTCCTCAGTTTCTTTACCTGTTGACCCACAATCTTCACCGGTTCCACCGCATATTGTAGGTCTTCACGTATCTCTACCGGTGGTTTCTCAAGGATATGAGACGGATATCGCACGTATATCTTGAGCATCGATACATGGAACACGTCGTGTATCTTCTCAAGTTCTGGCGTCAATTTGATACGGTAAGCCACGGCCCCTATCCTTTCAAGGATTTCAAATGGGCCAATGTATCGGGGGTTAAGTTTTCCCCTCGATATGAATCTGATGATACCTTTCCAAGGAGAAATCCTTAAAAAGACCTTATCACCGACCTCAAACTCCAATGGCCTGCGTCGTTTGTCAGCATAACTCTTTTGCCGATCTTGGGCAGCCTTGAGTCTCTCCTGAATGACCTTCACCTTAGCCTTGGTGATTTCGACAAGTTCGATCCCCTCGAGCTTGGCTTCGCGAACCTCGTCCCAACACAGTGGTGTTCTACATTTCCTCCCATACAATGCCTCGTATGGAGGCATGCCAATACTCGCCTGATAACTGTTGTTATAGGCGAACTCGACCAGAGCCAAATGCTTGTCCCAACTCCCTTGGAACTCCAGAGCACATGCCCTAAGCATATCTTCCAGAATCTGTATCACCCTCTCGGATTGCCCATCCGTCTGTGGGTGAAAGGCTGTGCTAAACTTTAGCTTCGTACCCAAAGATGCTTGAAATTTTGGCCAAAATCGGGATGTGAAACGTGGGTCCCTATCCGAGACAATGGATATCGGAACTCCATGCAGTCTCACAATCTCCTCCGTGTATAGCTTTGCCAATCTTTCAAGAGGATAAGTAATGTTGATAGGCAAAAAGTGTGCACTCTTGGTGAGCCTATCAACCACTACCCATACTGCATCATAGTTGTTCACTGTTCGTGGCAGCCCCACCACGAAGTCCATGGTCACGTGCTCCCACTTCCATTCTGGAATGGTAAGTGGTTGCAAAAGTCCCGCCGGGTGTTGATGCTCCGCCTTGACTTGTTGGCAAGTAAGGCACCGACTCACGTACTCTGCGATGTCCCTCTTCATACCCGACCACCAGTAACTTTCCTTCAAGTCTCGGTACATTTTAGTACCTCCTGGATGCATGGCATACGCCGAAGAATGAGCCTCCTCCAGTATAGACTTTTGGAGCTCCTCATTCCTTGGTATGCATACACGGCCTTTAAACAATAAAAGACCATCATCACGTACCCGAAAGTTCTCAACAGGCCCCTCAAGGATCTGTTCACGGATCTTCTGACATTCTTCATCAGTGGCCTGACATCTACTGATCTCACTCAGCAATGTATGCCTAACCTCGAATCTAGCAATGAGGACCCCACTCGTGGACACCTCCACTTGTGCCCTTAGTGAGCGTAGACACGTGAGTAACGTCCCCGATGTACTCTTTCTGCTCAGTGCATCGGCTACTACATGGGCCTTCCCGGGATGATAGTCGATGATCAAGTCGTAGTCCTTGATCAACTTCATCCATCTCCTCTGTCTCATATTCAACTCTTTTTGAGTGAATACATACTTCAAGCTTTTATGATCGGTGAAGATGTGACACGTCTCCCCATAGAGATAATGCCGCCAAATCTTCAGTGCAAACACTACCGCTCCCAACTCTAGATCGTGGGTAAGGTAGTTTGCCTCGTGTTTCTTCAATTGACTTGAAGCATAGGCAATCACCCGACCGTTTTGCATTAGAACACATCCAAGCCCTTGGATGTTAGCGTCACTGTATATGTCGTACCCTATCCCTTGTGTGGGTAGAGCGAGGACTGGTGCTTCTGTAAGCCGTCTCTTTAGTTCGAGAAACCCTTTCTCACAATTGTCGCCCCATATGAACTTGGCCCCTTTATTTGTGAGCTTTGTCAATGGAGACGCCAATACAGAAAATTTTTCAACAAACTTACGATAATATCCTGCTAAACCAAGGAAACTACGTATTTCTTTCACGTTTTTGGGTCTCTCTTAATTCATAATGGCTTCTATCTTGGCTTTATCCACCGCAATGCCCGAACCTGACACGACATGCCCGAGGAACCCGATCTCTTTGAGCCAAAACTCGCATTTAGAGAATTTGGCAAAGAGTTGTTTTTCCCTTAGCCGTTCAAGTACAAGTCTCAAATGATC